ATATATATATATATATATATATATATAATTTTATATATACCAAATAATATAATTTTTATTGCTTATATATATATAAACTTGATATATACATAAACCCTCTGGAAGCAATAGAACAGTGGAGACAGCTCTCTAGACTTTAGCAGGTTTACTAAGTTTATTTATTTTTTTGTAGATCTTGGCTCTTGTATTGTAAGAAACAGCAGACGTGTATTAAACAGAGCCAATAAGATGCACATGGACTGTTTCATGAACAGATGTGCGCTGAAGTCTCATGACACATTCCAAGCGGATAGAGTTAGACTCACACTGAAAGATGAATATATACCTCCCCTGGGGTCTGTTTATAACTTACACCCTGTTTGATCACCATGATGCTACAAACCAGCTGGGAAAAAATAATAGTTTCTGGAGGAATTAGTAAATGTAATGGTGAATTACATCAAAAACAACGCGATTTCAACACGGAGAGCCTGCAAAACTCTGCGGTCTGCATATATATATATATATTTCCCTTGAAACCAATTTCTAGATTGTTTAATAATATCTATTTGGTGATTTTTCATTTAGCTTGATTTATATGAGTGCAGGGTACAGTAAAGAGTGGATTTAGAAGCTGTTTAAAGAGAAAACATAAAATTCTGTTTTAGGAAAATCAGATACCAAAAAGAAAAATGAGACCCACAAAAGTAAAGAACTGCGGCACACAAACCAGAACATGAGAGCTACATTTAGTAATATTTTAGCTATAAATCAAAACAACAGGCTTCTTTCACTGACCCCTAAAGCCCTTTTAACATCTCAGGAGTCTCCAATGAAAACAAAATGCAATATGAGACACCCTGCTTTCCTCAAGGTACACAGGTACACAAATGAACCCTGGCTAACCCTCTGTGTGCTCGAGTATCCACAGGGGTCAGGGTTAGAGACAGATGAGGAATTCTTTGGTTAAGTAATGTCTGACCTGGGAACCTCCACCCAATGGGACCAAGCATGTGAAGAGGTTTGCCACCAGCCCTTCCAGAGGGAAGCTCAGACTGTCGATGTATACGGTGTAGATCAGTCCCAAGCAGCCCTAGGAGGAAAAAAAACCATTCAGCTAGTCCCTGACACACAAACACATGTAAAACACTTCCTGACACAAAAAAAGAGTCAATGTGAGTGGTGCAAAAGTTGCTGCCACAATACTGGTGTTGTCCTAACAACTTGTTTCTATTGCTACAGTTGCAAAGTTATTCTTAATGGTTGATATGGTGTTGCTAGAATGTTCTGTGTGAATGCTGTGATGTTGCTATAGTGATTTTAAGGTTTTCTGAATGGTTTCTAGGGTGTTGCTAGTGCTCTGGGTGGTTGCAAGGGTGTTGCTATAATTTTCTGAGTGCTTTCTACGGTGCTTCTAGTGTTATGTGTGGTCGCTATGGTTTTGCTAGTGTTGTGGGTAGTTGCTAGGGTGTTTCTGAATGGTTTCTAAGGTGTTGCTAGTGCTCTAAGTGGCTTCTAGGGTGTTGCTAGTGATCTGGGTGGTTGCTAGGGTGTTGCTATAATGTTCTGGGCAATTTTAAGGTTTTCTGAGTGGTTTCTAGGGTGTTGTTAGTGTTATGTGCGGTTGCTATGGTGTTGCTAGTGTTGTGGGTGGTTGCTAGGGTGTTATTATACTGTTCTGGATGATTTTGAGGTTTTCTGAGTGGTTTCTAAGGTGTTCCTAGTGTTATCTGTGGTTGCTATGGTGTTGGTAGAGTGTTGCTATACTGTTCTGGGTGATTTAGGGTTTTCTGAGTGCTTTCTTTGGTGTTGCTAGTGTTTTGGGCGGTTGCTAAGGTGTTGCTATAGTGTTCCGCATGGTTGCTAGGGTGTTGCTATAGTGTTCTAGGTGATTGTTAAGGTTTTCAGAGTGGTTGATTACAGACTCAAGTCAGTTGGTCCATATTCTGGTCTCTCCTACAATGAAAGTCTAAGGATTTTTTTTTATTGTATGCTCAAATGAAAATCATAAGTCTGACAAGTCTTATCAGCAAGATGAACAATTTGAGGTATAATTCATGTTCATAGCACAAACCATTTAAATCCCTAACCTCAAGTAAGAGCATTAGTAATAATGATGACTTCCTTAGCAAACATCACTTAATGCTTTTATATTTGCTTTTAAATTGTTCTTTAGATCTCTCTCTCTCTCTCTCTCTCTCTCTCTCTCTCTCTCTATATATATATATATATATGAGAAGAAATGCCAGCAGGGCATAACAGTGCCTTCTTAAATGGGTACAATGAGAAACTAAGGGATATAGTGTGAGACCATAAACATGTGGTCTTTTTACCAAGCAATACGGATCAACTAACTTATTCCCAGGCTTAGCTCATGCCAAATACATGAATGTAGGCCAAAAGTTAAAAAAATAAATAAAATAAAAAAATTGAGACAGGCAGTCTGCATAAAACTTTGAATGAGTGGATTTCCTGCTTTTGAGCTCCTGTGATATTCCTCTCAGTCTCTGTAATCCCTGTTTTTATTCCATCAGCAGACATAAATCTTTGACTTTAATGATTTAAAAGCTGACTATCAATATCGTTCTCAACCCAGTGATGGTTTTAATTATCCTAAATCCAGCTACAGCTCCAGCATGAAAATTCCTAGTTATAAACGTATGATTCACATCAAAAATGCGAGTAAAATCTGATTTTGCCAAAAATAACTAAAATATATTAGGAACAAAATGTTTTTGTTTTGTTTTTTGAGAGGTGGTATTTCACAGAGAGACATCATAAAATGCTAAATGCAATGGACAAACAGACGGACAGATTTTTGTTTACCCTAAATATTTCTGGGTAATCCAGCCTGGAGACAAGAATCAAACTTTTGGGTGCAAAGATTTGAGCTGGCTGGATCAAACCATCCTCTTCCTCATCCACATCCTCAGCTACATCCCCATCTGCCTCCAGCGTCTTTGAGCCCTGAAACAGAAAAAAAAAAAATCAAGAATAATTTTAAAAGTCTGGAATAAATAAAATTCCATGAGGCTGAGGTACTTTTCGAGTTGGTGGACAAGTACAGAGCAATCATATGAGATAAAGCCTGGACGTGATTACGGAAGATTCAAACAAAGCCATGACAGAATCATTATGCCTTTCCAAGCAACAATGAGCAAAGTTTCGGTAATGAATCCAAGTTTTTGAGTGAACTGAGTGAGCAAATGATTCCTTTCATAAAGACAGTCACTAAATTCATCAGTAGTTTGAAAGAATCATTGAATGAATGACTGAATGACTCACTCATTAAGATTTAGTTGATGCATCTGAAATTGCATACTGTCTAAATATGTACTACATTTGAATTTGAACTAACTTTGCGAAGTAGTGAAGTATTCAATTTCGGACGCAGCAAATGACTTGCCACCACATACAGGTGGTTTTAGTTTCATATGTAGAGTATCATTTCATTCCAATTATTTCAAATCATTTCAAAAAATCATTAAAAAACTTTAAAGGGGTCCTATTATGCTTTTTCACTTTTTCAACTTTAGTTAGTCTGTAATGTTGCTGTTTGAGCATAAAAAAGATCTGCAAAGTTACAAAGCTCAAAGTCCACTTCAAAGGGAGATATTTTATTTAACAGGAACTATTCGAGCCGCTAATGCCAGACTGGGGAGAGAGGAGTTGTAATGTAAAATATGTGAAAAATAATGTGTTTTTCGAACAACCTAGTATGAGAGCCTGTTTTAGTACACCCCCAAAACAAATTCAAGACTTTGTAAAAGAGCATAATAGGACCCCTTTAAGAATATTAACCCATTTATTATGATTATTCATACAACATTGAATCATCTTTTTGTAATGGCTATTCAATGCTTTTTTTCACACAATAATGACTTCAAATGATCTTTCGTTTACACATCAATTAGATTACAAATTTTAATTGCTCAACAATTAAATTATAACTTATTAAAACCAAGCAACATAAGCAGACTCTAAAATGGTTCACTCACAGAGCATCATTTCAAGTTAATTTAGATTTGTGACTAAAAGTAGTGCTGTCCGAGCGGACGAGTTGTTTACTGCCTGACAGTGGAAAAGAACAGCAAAGAGTGAACACTGAAAATCCTCTGTGTCCTCTGTGTGAGATGGACAGAGTGTCTGATGAAGAATTACAGGGCTCTGTTTCTAAATTCTTTGTTATTCACCACTGATAAATATCTGAGTTGAGGAGTTGAGAGAGCACTAGAAAATAACGCATAAAGATCACACGATTACATGTTCTCAGAATCACTGATAAAGCTGAGATTATGTAGACAAGCTTAGTCTGTATAATGTGACTGTCGCTCAGTATTCAGGCTCGATCCGGTTTCCTCAAAGAAACTAAAAACAGCACTGCATTTCAATACATCAAATGTGATAATGGTCATGAGGTCAGCCGAGCAGCGCTGCCTTTTTTCAACAAGCAAGAGAAAACTATAACAGGAGCAAATTAAGTTAGGGGGTCTTTCATATCTATCTAAAGTGTGACGGTGCGTTGACAGAGTTAGTGTCAGGATAGAGAAAGTTAAGATAGGCTTGCATGATGAATAAAGGAGTGACCCATGCTGGTTGTTATGAAACCATAAGAGGAACCTGGAGCAAAACAGAGGTGCTGGTCTATTTATAGATTTTGCTTTGGAAATTGGTTGGGTTTTGGGTTTGTTTTGTGCAAGGGTCTTGTCCCAATGGCTAATATGCTACTTGAACTGGTTTAGGCTCACATTACAAGTCCTGTTTTAGTGTATGAGTTAAATGTGTGTAAACTCTCCATACGAGTATTTGGAAAAATTCAATTTCCTAAATAATCACGTCACAAAGATGCAATCAGTGAAGAAACAAATCACAGCGATTACACCATGTACAACCCAAACTGAGTTTATGGGACAACGGGAGGATTAAGTCAATGATAAACTATAAATTTAGGCAAAAATGTAGTAAGTCACAGAATACATATCAAAATTAAATAAATTTAAGGGTTCTTAGAAATGTACTCTTTGTATTCATGTGGGTTTCATTTGGTTTAGAAAACCATTTTCAACAAGATTACATAAAACAACAAAATATCAAGTGATGTAACCATGAAGTGAAAAATATTAATAGATCTTTGGGAAGTCACATAACAATATTTTACAACCTAAACTAATTTTGCTTAGTCATTAAAAAGGTAAAATGTCCTAATATTTTTAAAGAGTTACTGATCTCGTCAGTCATGAGGGTTTGCAGGTTTTTCCTGCATGTTGATTGTACCAGATTATTATTAATATTATTAATAATTTTTGTAACCTTTGTTAAATTATTAATTTTGAAAGAAAAATCTTCTTAGATTATACCAAAATTATTTTGACTTTTATTTTATAGATTTTTATCTTCATTTCATTTTTTATAGATATGCCAAATGACGACGTTTTAACAACATTACAAGAGATTTATCCTCTTAAGACCTGGCAAAACATTTTAGGATTTTTTTTTCTTTCTTTTTCATGTCATTACATTGTTTAGAGCATTAAAAAAATTTTTTTTTTTACATTTTAATTTAAAATGATATTTCATTCATAAGTTATGCTACGTCCTGGGTAGAGGACATCGGGACTCAATAAAAAAAAAAAAAGTAAAGACATGAATGAACATGCATGCATAGGCAAAAACAATTGATTTTTTTTTAAAATCACCAATAGATTTTTAGTGTTCAGGATTTTTTTTTTTACCAAACTTTGTATAAAGATAATTCTGAACTATAATTTGATATACCATTTTTCTTTATGCAAAATATGTGTAAAATGGCCATAAACAGGTTCTCTCATTATATATAATGTATCTATAAACTAAATCTAATTTGCATATTAATGTGTTTTTGGGGCAACATGTAATGAAAAAAGAAGTGTAATAATGGGAGTAATAATTGACAAGTAATAATTGATCATTTTCATAATAATATATAACATTTCATAGGAATATTGAAATGTGATTTCTTTTCCAAAGTAAAAAACTCTTCTACATCTTGGATGGCCTGAGGTTGAGTTAAATTTCTGGAAATTTTAATTTCTGGGTGAACTATTCATGACAAAAAGGAGACTTCATTATCAATATTATCATTATCATACAGCGATAGGAAGGAGAGGTGTTGCCAGAGTCACGTCCCACTGCTCACAATCTGCTTCTAATTGTCTCGTTTGAGTCTGCGTCAGGCCTGCAAGCTCATAACGATGCCCACTTCTCAAACTCTGCCACCTAACCCCCTGCGCTGGAGCCCATTTGATTTGCTCAGACAGTGAAAACATGCCACAAGATCTACCGCATCTTATCAGTGGGAGGACAGGATTAAAATACCCCCACAGATGGGAAACACATTTCAACCTTATTGGGAGGATTTGGTTCAATTATGAAAAAAAAATACATTCCAGTGCTGCCTCTTCCAATCTGATAAAAGAAAAATATATTTTATTGTGTCATGATTTTTATATTAAGTGGGTTAATGATGTAGCTTTAGGCAAGTACACAACACCGGAAATGCTGGGTCCCTGCAGATGCGTTAAAAACAATGAGTGTATAAAAACAAGCCCATTAAATAGTGCGAAATGGAATGGAGAGAATTTTGTACTTTCAAAGCCTTTACTCCATACAGTTCAGGATGCTTATGCAAATGTTTGAATTTTTCTTCCTTGTGAGGTACCATTCCCATTGACATCAATGGATTTGTGGTGTCCTCTGACATAGCGTAACCATAGACTAAAAGAAGATGGACAACGCGTCTCCACTTCCTTCCACTATAGAAAAGTGAAGCCAAAACATCCCAATATGGCCACTGTCATCTTGCGCCAATGACGTCATTTGGAGCCCGAGTCTGTGCAGTAGTGATCGTGAGATGGAGTCGTGATATCAAAGTCCCACCGAAACTCCTGCAGACCCAATCGCATGCTCACCAATCATGACACCACACTTCATTTTATAGCGTCAAATAACTAATTAAAAACAAACTTTAAAATGAACACTTGAACATACATCAGCATTATAAGAACTACCTGAAATGATGGAGACCATCTTTGGGAAAAATTTATTTGAAGTGTAATTTGATTTTTTAGTTTGGCTTAAGTCCCATTCGTTTACATGGAGAGGGCGGGGTTTATGACCTATACTGCAGCCAGTCACCAGATGGCGATTGAAACGTTTTGGCTTCACTTTTCAGGATGTGCATGGCACACTTGAGCGTAATGCATAGATGCCTTCAGCATGTAGAGCTGATTAACCCATTGCAAAGTTCCACTCCTTTTGGTAACTGTTGCTAACTCGGGGGGCGTTTACACAATACGGTTTACAACTAAAAATGGAAAAGGCGTATTGGCCGTTCATTCACACGACAACAGCATTTTGAATTCTTTATTTTTTTTTTCAAAGTGTTTGAAAGTGATACAATAATTGTCTCAAAAAACACAAATTTGTGTAAATGGTGACACATGCGTATGCGTATTATGTGTTTAGTCTATAGGTATGCGCGAGTACTTGACAACTATAATATAATATTTCTAGTCATTTTTGTGGATCCGTGTGAATAGGGATTATTTTAATGTTGTCGTCTGTATGTACACATATATCCCTTGTATTTTCTCTACTTTGTGTCGCTATTTTTGTACTCAGCCAGTAAAGCAACAGGAAGTTGACAGTAAGTCTGTATGCTGGCATCCATGTAGATGCTTGTAGTAAACGGGCTGATTCATAGTGAATCTGAAGAATTAACCTTCTAGGCATTTGAACAGTAAGTGGCCTGCTTAACAAATTAATGTGACTCACAGCATTGAAATGCTTCATTTGGGTCATGATGATCACCACATCCTGAATATTGAATTAAGCCACATTGCCGGTACTAGGATGCTGCTCTCAATAGATGTGGAATGTCGGGATGTGATGAACTGGTTCTCCTCATGATTACATCATCATTTCCACAGGTAAAAAAAAAAAAAATGAATACATTCCAGGGCCACAAGATTGCAATTATTGCAAATAATTTTCCCGCTCATAATGTGGGAAATTCCCACAAACATTCATTCACTATGTAGGTTGAATGAGTAAATTAATCAACACAGATGAACAGATCAATGAGTAATTTAAAATCATTCTGCCATACTGTAATTTCACAAACAGAATCAGAATCAGAATGAGCTTTATTGCCAGGTATGTTTACACATACGAGGAATTTGTTTTCGTGACAGAAGCTTCCACAGTGTAACAGAATGACAGTGACAGAGGGGGAGTGCAGGGGGGTTCCTCCTGAAGTCCACGGTCATCTCCACAAACAGCGTGAGTGATTCAGCGCCTCTGCATCCTCTCTGTTTCTCTCAATATGCTTCACTAAATGGAGTCACAACACTACATAAAAAAATTACATTCTGGCCCTGAATTCTCTAGAATGTTTTGGTGACACATGGAAATGGCTTATAAGTAAACTCTCAAAAAAGACAAATGTCATTCAGTGGACTCTACAAGAGTGATGGTCCCCATCTGACCTGCTTTCTGACAAACAAGAGCCTGTTGCAACATTCTAAATGATTCAAAGCTGTGGAGCCAATTTCCTTGTTCATTCGCTGGTCTATTGAAGGCATCCCTGAATTTTTCTCCTTGAAAACAACAGCAGTGTTGCATTTGTCTACAGTGGAATGAACTTGAACTGAGTAGCTTGACTAATGCAAATCATGACTGTACTTGGAACCATCATCTTATGAAAAACCTTTTAGGCACTTAGGCGTAGTAAGCATGAATGTGGCAAAGTTTATTGACATGACACACACATATGCCACATCACTGCACTGCATTGGACAAACATTGTAACAGGAGTGGCAACAAAAACGATCAATATGAATATGCTGAAATTACAACTTTCCTTCATAGAGATCTAGGTGCTGCCATATTCTCCCAGCCAGAGGAAGCAGAATGATATGCCAATGTAAACAACAGGGGCTACACACCTTGTACACTTGTCCGCTAATAAAATCCAAAAGTGCTTTTGGCTAACAGTAGGGGCGCACAGCTGTGCTCATTGAAAGCTGTGTGTGCTATCAGAAAGACAGTTGATATGATGATATAGGCTACTCATAACATTCCAGGTTCTGTAAGAACTTGTAAGCAGTGTAATCAATGATGGTTATACTTCACACTCTGTGATTGCAGAAGTAAATGATTGGCAAATACTTAGATAAATATAGCCACAGGTGACAATAAAAAGGAGCTGGAATAAAACTGCAATTGGCAAACTGGCAGAACAGATGCTATTGATACAGTTGTTGTCCAACGATTTACCTCAAAAGATGCTAAGAAGTTTGAAGCCTGTTATATTGATCTATAGTGAGGCCTGTAAGAAATACACATGGCTGATAAAATTTAATTGGCTGCCGGCATTCTTGTTCATCTGTCCAACTGATTTTGCAGTATATTAGCACTTGTAACAAAGAAAAAGCGTGTCAAATTTGAACTTCCTTACGCCAATGTTTTTTACGAGATTCCCCTTGTTACAGCCTCCCTCTAATGGTGAAACTTGGCATGTGTCCTCCGAACAACCTGGTGTCCATGTGTAACTTATTTGGACATTCAGAAGATGTACAGGTCCATTAGTCAATATGGGCCCATTGGCAAAAACGTATTGGCTTGTTTCTGCCAAACAATCGATGAACTTGAATAACCTAATTTACAGAAAAATGGCACGCTTGAAACTATACTATATATAAATGAACACAAAACTTGACCCTTATTGCCAACCTTACTCTAATAAAGTAGATTATCTCAGTCAAGGACACTGGTGCACTGGTTTTTTGCACTCCAGGACTTTCACTTAATGCTAAAACATCTCAGCAAAAATGAGAAAAAAATGTGGAGGCTCAATGTTTTTCCTCTCAAAATGATGAACAACTGAAAATCTTCTACAGGAGCTGTTCCTCTAGCCTCATTATCACTGGAAGCAGCTGAGGTTGGAACCCTGATGGACGCTGAGCAACAGTCAGAAATTACAGCTGCATTCTTTACATAGCTGTCCTCAAACCCCAGGCCCTTGCTGCTCCTCTTCTTTCTTTCTCCACTCAGGACAGTGAACTTTAAGATGCAGCAGTAAATTTTGTCCCATCCTGATCGCAGCAGCCATTACTGAAAGGTTCTCAAAGTGGTTGAATGGTTGAAATGCTTACTTTCAAGACCTAAATATCCTTAAAATATTTTAAAAATAGTCCTTCTGAGGTCATTAAAATGAGTGAAAAGATCTAAGATGAATTTTTTAAATTATATATAGAATTTATTTTTCGCTTTGCCGTGCAACTGTGAGCATTTAACTGACAAGTTATATCTAGGACTAATTTTAATGTGTCTTATTCACTATTGCCTTCAAGCGTGAATTGGAAATGTGTGTGATTGGTAATGTATGAATAGCCTAAAATTTGATTGGCCTGTATCTGCTAAATGATGATGCATTTCAAATTCTGTGTGATATGGACAAAGGTTAGACAAAAAAAAAATTGCAAAATGATTCTGGCCAAAATAAATGTTGGTACTAGCTCATACAGTTCCCAATTATACAAGCAGAGAGTAATGTTTTTATGGTCTCTGACACCTTTCTTTCTAATGAGGAAGAACGAAAGTCAATCCAACAGCAAAAATGCCTGGACCCCTAACTAGACCTTGTAATAAAAACATGGCCTTAATCTCACCTGAAGGTTGACCTCTGCCTCAAAGAAGGTCAGACAGGAGCAGAAGTGTCGTTCTGAGTCTATGTCTGTCAGCACCACTGTGAAGAATGTCGGGAGCTTCCTCTCACGAGACGGCCTCCATCCACCAGGCTGGCAGAACTGTAAAAGTACAAAAAAAACAAACAGTGTTAGTCTTGACTCTACAAGAGCCTGACATTACCAGAATATCCAGTCAGCACAAAAGCAACCAGTAAATTCTGGTTATCATAAGAGGTGACATCATAAGCGCAGAGAAAATCACAGGAATTGAATTTGAGGTTGTTGAAATTCATTTCAAACACTTTTCATTGTTTTGACAGGGCTTACTGGAATGCAGTATGAGGCAGTTATGGCACGTCAGTGTGCAAATGGGATAGTTTGTGATCATATGCAGGATGTGCCACTTCAGATAGTACATCCTCTCATCAGAAGGCAGGAAACGCCACTGACTGCCTCAGTGCCCTTTCAAAAGCCCCTCCACATCCATTCTGTTACATAGAAAATCCTAATAAATGAACCTGGATAATATCCTGTAGCTGACTGACTGTCCTGCTGCTGAATCCATGCTGCTGCAAATTCAGTGTCACAGCAAAATAAATTATTTACAATCAGCTGTTAGTTTGAATGTGTATTGAATGTGCTGCAATAAAAAGACAGTGTAAAAACTGAAGCTTTTGAATGGGAGTTGAATCGAATCAAGTGTTTGAATTAAATCAATTTGAAAATGTGTACTCCTGCACAGCAAAATGATCAAGATTTCAGAAGCAAGTGGCTTTCCTGTAGCTCAAACTAGTGTCACGGTGCCAAAATTTCAGTAGTTGGTGCCAGTAAAATTTCAAAGGTTCTCGGTACCATAGCAAAAACTACTGTATAGTATAACTATTTTAACAGTTATCATTTACCTCTTCTTTGAAAATAAAAACATTCAATAAATTAAATCAGTTCATTATATATAATTAATAATACTAAGTAAATAATAGAATAAAACATTAGCATGTAGGCTTCAACTATTGTTCAGTTAAGCAAACACTACATTAAAAAGATCAAATGAAAAGTTCGTAATAAAATTAAAAACAAAGAAACGCATTACAGGTTACAGAAAAAGTGTCAGATCCATTGCACTTTGCAAGACTTAATGCACAGATCTATTTTGACATATCAAATTTTTTGTCAAACATCAGTACTTTTGACAACAGTAGCTCAAACAGTAGAGCATGGCGCTAGAAATGCCAAGGTCTTGGCAAGGTTCGTTCCCATGCAAAGCAAGAACTGATAAAATGTAAATGTGCACTTTAAATGCAATGAAAGTGGCTGCCAAATGTGTAAATGTAAATGAAAATTAAAGCGCAGGCAATGAATAGACGCTGCTCTCCTGGTTAGCGGTAATGAGACAGGAGAAAACGAGACATATCAGACTGAGTAAATCTGCTGTGTTGGTGCTAGAGTTTAAAGTGGTTTGGCAGGCACAATGAGGCTGGATCACAAATGGCGGCCTGGTATTAGAGAGATGAGGAAGAGCAACAGAGGAAAGTCAGGGACAGAGATGAAAGAAAGAGGGAAACTACTGCATTCTGCACAAAGACTAGCGTTAGACAGCTTTTGACTCACGCCTAGGCAAAAGCGATAAGGTGAGTGGGTGGAAACAGAGGATAAAGAGTGAAGGAATGAATGCGAGAGAGACAGCGAGAATGAAAGACAGAGCTATACAGAGTGTGTTGGATTGACCTCAGGGCTTGAACCAGGATGTTAGCATCCCGCTGCAGCCACAATAGAAGGCAGGAAATCTGGAACGCTGGCAGGCGAAGACGGAAGAGCAGGATGCTCCATCCCCTTGTCAGATTGGGACAGGTTCCAGGAAAATTACAGAAAAATATGAAAATATTCGAAGTATGCGATAAATTCCCTACCAAATCCAGATAAACAAATAATGAGAGTGCGTATGTGGGGTTGATGATGTGGGACGGCAATGCCACACAGACCCAAAATGGACAGGAAAGACGCTGTAATTTGACGCAAATGACAACCTACGTACAACCCATAGTGAACGTACTGTGCTCCTATCCCTACAGTTTCATTTTTATTTGCCTTAAATTTAATGTGACTAAGGTCTATAATTGTGGAAAATAGGTTGTGTATTATTACGCTTAAGCTCCATCAATACCCTTCCTGAGGCTGTTATTATGCAAGTGGCCAGAGGCTCTTCAGTCTGGCATTCAGTCAAATACTACAAAAGCCAAGCCTCAGTCTGAAATATTCTGCACATGCTTGGTTTAGTTCACAAGACAACATCCAGACAGACAAGAACTGTGGATAAACCCGACATGTCTGATCAACTGGATCACAGTCTCATTGGGGGGGGGCGGGGGGGGGTTCTTTTACAGTAAATATTAGCTCAAGTTTGATATTTAAGAGCATTGAAATAGTCCAAGTAGAAGGCTAGGATTGGTGGATGGAGGTCCAGGACAAGATGTTTCACACAGCTGGAAAATTAAGTCATGCTACAATATGTTACAGTGAATGGTTATTGGATTCTGTTATCTGATGACAAACATAAAAATGAAACACAAACAAGGGGTCGAGGGAAGCAAGGGATCGATTCTTTAATCATGACTGTGATAAGAGGTCTTTGCTTCTGTAGTTCCAGTGGTTATTATTGCCACGTAGGAGAATTCCAAGTTTGGAGTTGTATGAAATACAGCATTAATGATACACATCGAATAACAATCATGGCTGTACTTTGAAATGTCAGTGAAAACAGAGTCAGAGCTGAAACTATTTGAACTTTGAGCTTCACATTACAATGCTTCACCTGCTGACAACAAGTTAGCTTGCTGCTTCGCTTCAATGGAGGCACAAGTCATGTGAAAGTGTCTCAATTGTTCTCTAAACTGTGTGTGCACTCTTGCAACCATGAAACAGCCGAGTCATATCAGAGAAGACAGACCTTTCCTTAAATTAGCTCTCGGTCAAGTGACAATGGCACTCCATAGTGTTCTAGCAGCCGTGATGTCAGAGGGCATTCAGTTACACTGCTGGCCTGTCAGTGAGAGTTCCTCATCATGTGAGAAATGAATGGCACGTCCACTCTGCAAACAAGACACAAGATCTCCAGCTTGACCTGTTAAGAATCAGTTCAGCGGCTGAAAGCATGGAGAACAGAACAACCATATTAGATCTTCGGCTGCCTTGTACTGTGTTCCGTTACTTGCATCTCTGTTTAATGACGGCCATAAAAGGCAGAGGACCGCTGCCCCAGCTAAAGGATAAAGAAAGAGCCGCCGCTCTGATTACTGGGAGTTGTGCCACAGTGCCAGGCTGGTTCATAAGGTACATACATAAGCTGTCACAGCAGAAACATATTCCTTGATATTCAAACTGACTTGATTTCTATAGGCTACTTAGTAAGGCTCTACAATTAATCAAATATTGAAGATTATGTTTAGACACTGGCTCAATTAAAGAAGTAGTTCAGCCAGAAATGACAAAGCTATTTCAAAATCATGGTGGCTGGCTGCCACTGGTCTCCTTTGTGCCATTCAGAGCTTCCCACTCCATTCCAGTAGGTGGCGGATTCTTCTTCCTCTTCTGGTGTTTTAATGGCAATTGGTCAACCATCATTCTGGAATGGATTGTGAAGCACCGGATGGTGCACAGGAAAGCAACAGAGCACTACAGTGATTAATTTTTTTTTTTTTAATGCCAGCCCGTTCGTTTGCATCACCTTGGTTTCCTTGACCAAAACGCAACATAATTTTTCCATTGGCTTTTGGATTATAGCAGAAAAAGCTCTGTGACCTAAAAAAAGTTTATGATTCAAATTTTGTGTTACATGAAGGCTATAAGCCAACTGTACCACGGTCACATGACTTCAGCGTCACCAGCGGCAATGTTTTCTTGTTTGGTGTAATTGTGTTTAATCAGTGTCCCAGAGAACTTCTGCAGTCCCATTTAACCACTTGTTTGCAACTGCTTTTTTAATTAATCACAAGGGGATTTTACTAAAAAAAAAAACTCAGTAATACCCCTTTTGATTTTTTAGTTTTTTATGTTGTAGAATAAAACGTGAAAATATCTTGAAATTGTGTTAACCATACCCTTACATCACAATGGAACAAAAAGTGCTAAATTGCCAAATTGTTTTGAGGTTTTGACCATAAATCTCATCTCTGCAGTACTCATTGTAGCCGCCACAAATTTACTTTGCAATTGCTTAGATATTGGGTTGAATTTCACCAAATCCAACCAGAGCACTCAGAAAACAATAAACAAGTTTCATGGACTTTTTTTTGCTGACCCCTGACACCAAAACAGATATTCATTAAAATTATTTACTTTTGTGTTATGCAAAAGAAAATCAAATGGGTTTGGAACAACAAAATTAAATTATGACTGAATGTTTTCATTCCTTTAACTGATCATTAAAACTGTTAATTGCACAGTTTAATTTAGGCTTAGTTGAAGCCTATCATTCTAATCAATGAGGCAAATAGTATAAATAAGAGATTTATTTTTCAGAACAGGCATCTGAAGCATAGGATTTACGCAATGCTGCCTTAGAATTTAGCCAAAGCACAGTATTTTTTAAAACATAATTGAGCCTTAGCACTGGGAGTGAACATATGATGCCTAAAAAAAGCTGTCCAAGTTATGCCACTCACTAGATTTTGGAACACAACTATTAACAATGTGTGAGGAAAAGAGAGCGGGTGTGTTTTCATAAAGTGTGAGAATATAGGTTATAAATGGAACAGACACTTCTTGGCCCATCATAACCTTCAAGTCTTGGTGGACAACAGCTGAAAATCTCTCAGGAAGAAGAACAATAACACAGGAGAAAGGGGTGTCAGCACTGGGCGTCCTCCGTCAACACTGTATAGTTTTATCAAAATGGACAGCAGCTAATGCAGAATCCAAATATGGGACAGTCTATTTCTGTCAGCCACAGACCAAGGGTAGGATATGCTCAGCTGGGCCAAGAAGGAGACCCCATTCTTCTGAATGTGTTAAGCTGAAGGAAACCTGGAATAACCTGTGATGCAAACACTTCCTGAGAACATCTTCAGGGTCAAAGGAAATAAAATAAAAAAGTGTTTTTATGGACCTACCCCTTTAAAGCAACA